AGTTACCTTTATAAATTTTTTCTTAAATGAGTTGAGAACAGGAAGGAAGTGCAGGGACATCTGGCTTTGGGCCCTCCACTGGGGTCCTGATGTAGAACAGATTCAGACTGTCCATGAGGCATCATGAGGGCTAACAACTGTACCCCAGATAAGAGCCACTTCTCTAAGATTACAATGCAAAACAGAAAACAAACCACAAATTAAATACATGACACTGAAATCACTTGGATGAGAAAACACAAAGATATTTAAAAATATAAATAAATACATTTAGACATTTTTATTCAAGAAACCCAGAGAACTGCTTTCAAAGCAATTACTTCTTTCAACCACCTTCTAAGTTCCTTCTTAAATACTTACTATTTTGATTGTCACTTAACGCAGCACCTCAGTGTTTGCTGGTGGTGGTGATGGAATTTCACTTAATAGTCTCTCCATAAACTGTACCCTATCTCACTAGAGAATGCTGCTCTGGGAAAACCCAGGTAGCTTACAAATTATTGTAAAACACTCAAAACAAAACCTACAAAGTATTATTTTTTATTTAAGAAAAACAAGGAATGTAGTGTTAAGACATGGGGAAAAAAAACTATGCAAAACAGTCACATGGAAAGAAAGTATTTTAATTTTTAAATATCCAAGTTTGCTTAATTTCTTTTGAGTTCAACACTTTTAAATATCCTGAATTAATAACTGTACCAACAAAATTCATCCCCAGTGTTTCCACGGGAGACATTAAAATAAGATCAAATTATACTTTTTTTTCCTTTTAACCAAAGTAGTCTTTTTCTCAGTCCTTTTTGTGCAAAAATATTACAAGAGCAATTCAAATGGAAACACTGAAATGACATGCCAACATTTCAGGGCACATTTAAAACACTCAGAATAATTCTTGAAATTACTGTATTCTAAAATAGTACTACCAATCACTTTTAGATTAGTTCTGTATATCTACTCACGCGGATGCAATTTTCCTAGACCTCTGAAAATAAACAGGCTCATTGGTCTCTTTTGGTGTCCACACAATAGGCAAGATAGGTTTACAATAGTGTTTAAATGGAACTAGGCGTCTACAATCTCTTGACTCCACCACATTCAAAACAAGAAGTCAAAGTTCATTTGGCTACCTTGAAATCACTCCCATAAACCTACCACGGTTCACTGGATCTAAACATTTCTCAGAAATGTGTCATTTATAATTTCACCTAAGTGATGATTTTGGGGATCCTTTAGAAATGGTTAATGCCTAAGATAATAAACTTTATCAAAATGAATAGTTGCAATAAAGTGCTCGTTACATTTCAAAATGATGCTTTCAGACTGTGGTATGTTGCTTTAAAAGAGTGTGCTATTCCTCCCGTAAAGGATCCCCAGGCATGAGAGTTGGGTCTTCTCACCTGTCTCAAAAAGCAGCAGCACTATCTTTTGGTAGGCTGACGATAGGCACGTTACCATGCGGATGAGGCTATACTAGTGCTATGGCAAAAGGGGGGAGTAAATTAGAAAAGTGGGTGGCATGTGGAGGGTTCCTACTATACTCATAGTTATATACAAATATATTAAATATGCTATAAAAATAGTCGACTCTTTTCCTTTGCAATGACTTCAGAAGCTCCTTTTAGAAGCATGCTCACCCAATGCAAACAAACTTAAAAGGTTCTCTTTCTCCAGTCACTATTAAAATGGCAAGTGCCTTTGTGCTGTTTCTTCTCCACCATTCAAAACTTCCAATCAGCCTACTCCTGGCTAGACTCACTCAGCAATATTAATATCCAGTGTTTATACCTTCCAACACGGACTCTCGTGGGACTAACAGGGCCACAGATAGAGTTCTACACAAATGTTCATCCATGAACTTTCAATCACCAAAGAAACAAAGAAAGAAGTAGAAATTCCAAAGTAAAATGCTATTTGCGTTCCACTTAAAAAAACATTTGCCGCAATTAGTGGAAACATTTTAAAACATGTTGAGTAATACCCAGTTTAAAAGAATTTTCACCTGTCTGTGTAAAATACTGTTTTAAGGGTCCCTTTCTAAGGCTTCTTGAACAAGGGCTCATCCCCCTTCAACGCAATGCCCCTCGCAGAGCCGGACCGCTTCAGTGCGCGCAACTGCAAGCAGACTGCTTTTAAGGCAATAACCAACAACTCTAGCACTTCTGAAGAATCCAAACAACATCTTCACTGTTCTGTACTGAGTATTCTATAACAAACTACTCGAAACCACTGGCATCCTTTTATTACTAGTACATTCCTAAGCCAGATGTAAGTGACAAAGCAGAGCACAACACTCTAAAACCACCCCCTCAATTTAGGATGTTCAGAGGCTGAACTGCAGTATTTACTTACGTGCTACCCCCCCGTTCCCGACATTTGCTCCTCCAGTATCTTCCACTCACAAAAGGGAGCAGGTTCTGGTCAGACAACTCTCAGCAGCAGCCTTATTAATCCTTGCAGTTCTCACCTGCATTCGTTCAACAGCACTGACTCGCCCAGTGCCAAGGCAGTCCAAAGCAAGGTAAGGGACTGCAGAGCAGCTAGCATTTTTCCTTAACCTCAGCAGTGGCTCACCTAAAAGTGCCACACAGAGTAAGTGTTTTTAAGAAACACTGCATACATGTGAGAGTCAAGCAGAGGGGAGGTAAGATTTTTTAAGAAGCTGAAAGGTGTTTCTATTTGGTATCTTCTCATGGTTTCGATTTGGGATTTGAGTTAACAACTTTGGCTACAGACATGAAGAGCAGGCGAGTGCTGAAGCCCCGTGTGAACGCTCAGGTGTCGCGGGGGCGGGGCGGGGCGGGGACAGCTTCGAAACCCAAATTTAAGAGGAGAACAAAGGCAAAGAAGCAGCCAACAGGCAGCTGGTGCTTCCGACACACTTCGCATGGATAGTGAAGGAAAAGCAGCTAGCTACTCCTTCAAATAAGCAACCAGTACTTCCAAGCAGGAAAAAGATGAGCTGTGAACAACAAAAATTATAAAGGAACATTTAAATTTTCTTTCCCAGATATTTGTGAAGATGGAAAATACTTGAAGGGGTTCGGGTAGGAGAATGTGAGTAAATAAACAGTTTACAGATTTGCCTTGTGGCTTGTCTTATGCTTTGCTTCTGTCAACCTAAGTACCTAGTACTCACGGTTCACCATCTTTCTTTTAAGTATAGTAGTTAGAGGATGAGCCTGAATATAACAGTTATTCATATCCTTTGTTAGCTACATCCGTATCACTAGGTATTGCCAATAAATAAACGAGGCACAACTCAGACACACATGGAATGGCACAAGGTCGAGCAAGGCAGTTTGAAAGGGGAGAACGATGCTGCTGCCACATTCGGCAACATCAATTTCGTGTGTGTGTGTGTGTGTGTGTGTGTGTGTGTGTGTGTGCTCAAGGACACACATACTCTGACAACTATTCTCGATATTCATGGGAATGTCAGCGATCTCTTCCGGATAAGCGTTTAGCTAGAAGAGCTCCTTGATATGTTAATTACTGATTGGTATCTAGTCACACTCCTTTTGTAGAAAGGTAGGTACCAATTTTCTTTGGTGGTTTTTTTTTCAACATTACTTTTCAAATTTAATTGTGGCCAGGTACAGTTTTCTACAGAAAGACGACGTCTATCCCTTAAGGATGATAGCAAATCTTAGGACAGAGAAGTCTTAAGAACTGATTTAAGACTTAACTAGCAATTTTGCATTAGGTTATTTTCATTGCGTAAAACTTTTTCTGTTTAACAACCTCAATTCTGTTATACATTTTCTTTTAAGGTCAATTTTCATTTATCATGCTTGTTCTCCACCCTTTCCTAAGTAATCATTTTTTATATTCTAATCTATTTTCCAGCAATCTTCTTTTGTTCTACAGCTGTAAATTTCATTATTAGTACCATAAAATCTATAAACTGCTTTTTTTAATGTATGTAATTTGTGTTAGAATTTATTACCTTTAGCATGTAATATTGCCAAATGAAATCTTAGTTCACATTTAGAAAGCATGTGAGTTACAATATTCTAGTGCTACAGTGAAGGCAAAGCCAAATTCCTACCCCTTCTTTTTGCTCTGTAGGAATATAGAGATCATACTGAGCCAATACTGGTAATTCTTAAATGATTACTTAGCTTTAAAGAAAGATGCTGATTTTGGAAGCAATTTTGGAATCACATTAATAACTGTGATAGTGTTAGGTTATCATCTTTTATTTCTAAATTATTTGTACCTCCGGTCCAAGAAACTGATAGCAGTCTTCAAAGGAACTTAGGAGAATAATAATGACACTAATACCCACATGCTGTTAAAAATGTACTAAGGTTTCAAAACTGCTACTGAAACCAGACAATGAGTTCAAGATGGTGAGTTATCACCTGAATTAAAATCAAGGCACTATGGGTTTTTCCCCCCCCCTCAAATAACCCTGAATCATTTCTGACTGAAAGAAGCATTGAAATTGTGAAGGATAATAATAAAAAAGATTCCAACAAATCCTAAAAGTTAAAATTCCCACCGCTGAGAATGTTAAAAAGTGCCTAAGGTGTTTTGTGTGCAAATTTTACCTCTATAACTGAAACATTCTTGAGATTACTTTCAGGCTTGTTGAAAACCATTTACACAAATATTTCCAACTATGAACTATATCAAAATATGCAATCAAAAATCCCAACCATCTAAAATAAAGCAGTGCAAATACTATTTTCAAACATAACTGACAAATAATGAAATGAGGGATATATCCGAATAACTTGAAAATCCTGTTGTATCAATAATTTAACCTGAAAAAAACAATCCATTCCCAGCAGCACATCATACCTCACTGAACAAACTGTGACATCACAGCCAAAGTATGAACAAAAAGACTTGTGCCCTGGAAAAATGAATGGAACACTACTGTGTTGTAAACAAAAGGAAAAACAGGATGTATCAGTTTGCACGTGGTATCAGAATCTCAGGAAATGTACTCACACCTATAAGGAAGAGATAATGCTTTCATGCAGCATACAACATGTTTTGCTTTCTCTCCTTTTATCCAGACATATACATATTTTTACAACATCTACACAGAGAATTTGAACCTACGCAACATTCTGAAAGTAATTACTGTTCCATCGTTATCTGAAAAGGGAGAGGAGTTGGGGTGGGGACTACTAGTCTACTGGACTGTCTTCATGGCATCATTGTAAGCAAACCCCTGACATGGCAGTGGCGTGGCCTCTGTAACACTTGACAACAGGCACAGAACCACTAAAAGTTACTAACATTGTTAGCGCCTTTCTGATTCACTGGAGGTCGTTTCATAGCTGAGCTTCTTAACATTTGGCAATATACTCTTTCCATCAAAAAATACCTGGGCAACTAAAACACTGTCAGAATTGGCTACGTCCCTATGATCACCTCCTGCTGGCTGGTATTTAATAAACCTCTGTAGCACTAGGCAGCATTTTCTCTGCCAATTCCAGGAACTAGACCGTTCAATACCACATCTCATGGAACTGCTGGAACTTCTCCTCCTATCCTCAGGTCATCTGAGTAACTCTTTTGGGCCGTCCCTTCCTCCCTTGATGTCAGAGAGGAAGCGTGTGTGCTACTGTGGTTGAACCTTGGAAGGATCCGTCAGACTGTCAGTCCTGTGCCGGCTGAGCTGCTGCTGCGGCTGAGCCTGGTGTTGCTGGTGATGCGACTGAGGGAAAGTGCTCTGTTGCAGAGGAAACGCAGCAGACAGGATGAGCTGAGTGGAAGGGTTCCCGTGGAGCAACCTAGAAGTCTGAAACACAGGCGGGTTATGCAATACTTCTTTGCCCCCGGTACGCTGTCCACGTAAGATTCACTCAAGCTGTCCACTGTCCACAGGGACAGGATCCTGAAATTCTACATAACCCACGTGTTTTTTGTTCTCTACTTTAAAAATCATATTTTGGAAAATGCTTATGAGGCTTCCTTCTTTCTGGAAGTATGACAGGATTTTATTTAAGGAATCTGAACTGGAGGTTTTACGGTACAGGAAGCAAAGACAAACCACATGTGTTCTTTCGCTTTATGTCCTACAGACCCATATTTTAGACAATAAAATTTGAGCGCGGCTATGCACAACATGAATACTGGGGCCAAATGGAAAATGCCTTTGCACACTGCGAATTCGAGCAGCGCAGTGAAGCGGCCAAAGGCGCGGGCTCTGCGGCAGGCTGTGCGGGTCAAACTAGGCGTGTCACTTGGTCGAGCTGTTCACTTCTTTGGGCCTCAGTTTCTTTATTCCTGTATAGGAATAAAGACTACCAAATTGGGTTTTTATAAAGATTGGATATTAATATTATTATTTAAAAGCACCATAAAAATGGGGGCAAAGTTGGAGCCTTAAGTCCAAGATGAGCCCAATCTTAACAATGACATATGCTGCTCCCTCCACAGTATTTCTCCTCTGATACTAATTTATAACTGAAAAATTACAATAGAATTTACTCCAGCAAAATAATTTAATACCTATACTATTGTAATAAAAAGAAATTCCTACTCTGAAAAGAGCACAGTTTGATGGGCAGCTAGAAAGAAAAAGAAAGATGCCTTTGCTCGAATTCCAGAAACTCTAGCCCAAGACAGAGAAAACAGGTGTATGTACAGTGCCCTCAGGTGGGCAAGAAGTAGGCCGCTCATCCACCCAGCACATCAGATAACTGAGTCGGCCCAGGGCAGGACCAGTCTTCCAAAGACTGAGGAAGGGAAGAAAACAGCTGAACAGGACAGGCTTTCTATCTTTGTGGGATTGAAACTGTACAATAAGCTTTTATGAGTTTTTCAGATCGTTTACGAAACTGTTGATTAGACGCTTAACTTCACCACAGAAAAGTACACGGTGTGAGGCAGCTTCCCCGCAGGGAGGATTACCTGCAGAAACTGCTGCGGCGGCTGGGTCAGCTGAGCCTGAGATGGTTGCTGCGCGGAAGCGAGCTGCGGTTCCTGGGAATTCTGCTGCTGCGTGACCGCCAGCGCCTGCGCCTGCTGCTGCTGCGCAGCGAAGGTGGGGTAGGCGGTCACCACCTGGCCCATGAGCATAGTGCTGGGCACCATGACCGCCCCACAAGCTACAGGAGCAGTCACTAATTTGGTCACGAGTTGCTGACCTTGAGAAAATCTGTTAGAAGAAAGAAAAGAAGTTGGAGTCAAAAATACAAGGTATACATCCTAAAAGGCAGTGGGCTGAATACTTAATCTAAGATATAATAATACCCGATGATACTGCCAACCCAGCTTTTTAAAAGCTTTATATTCCTATCTGATTTCATGTTTTTAAAAATTCCCTTTGGGATATCAAACAAAAAATATATATAGCAAACTCAACATGACAAAAATCCAAAATTTTTTTGGATTTCCATATTCAAAAGAATGAAGTTGGACTCTTACCTCACATCATATACAAAAATTAACTCAAAAATGGATCAAAGACCTAAACATAAGA